TTCATGCTGATATTGGCTTTAATGGTGAAGTATTCATGCTGATATTGGCTTTAATGATGAAGTTAGCCTGCTAATATTGGTTTACTGGTGAAGTTATCATGCTAATATTGGTTTAATGGTGAAGTTATCATGCTAATATTGGTTTAATGGTGAAGTTATCATGCTAATATTGGTTTAATGGTGAAGTTATCATGCTGATAAATTGGTGATCCCAGTGAAAATTGCGTTTTAAAAAGATAGCCGTTAAAGTTTTTTGCACTTGAATGTCAGTAAGCTTTTAATAACTGTGTACATTTACCCCATTTCACAGTTTCATCACCATGTAAATTTGCCCAGTTTTAAGGGTCAGTACTACGTTAAGATTTATATATAAAAATTATAAGAATTATTAAATTTCTAGAAACGCGGGGCTCAACTGCCATCCATTCAGTTTTGACAAGGTGTGGATCAGCCTTTAGAGGACCGGTTTCAGAGCTGTTAAATAAGATTCTTGTCATATAATTTCACCTTGGTATACGGTTTCAAAAACTTCTGGTTAAAACAAACAAAGCATTGTTAGTTGACTAATTTTTTGTACAGCTCAGCATATGTTACATGCAGTGTGCCAGGCTTCCTATATAACGTTGTTTTACTTAGACTCTATGATGAGAAAAATATTTATTAAATTATAAATACAAACGTATTTGTTTTATTTGTAAAACTACATATTTAAAACAGGAATTGTAGAGAAATATTTGCTTTTTATTTTTAAATCGCCCTTGATACCGGCTTTAGACGGATTTGATGACTTATGAAACCATTGTATCTGTCTTGGGAAATAATAGTTGAGGTGGTTACCCTTATCTCAACGGGTGCAGTTTATTGTACGACATATCCAGATCAACAAACAGAGCGAGCATATTGTCGCGATAAAGTGAAGTGAATCATAAACTTAGATTCACAGACCAGCATGCTATCAACAAATTTACGTTTAATCTATTTGCATAATACTATGGTTTTATTTTTGAGTCAGTAATTTTATGGAAAAAAAAGGCTATGTTCACAAAAGGCGAATAAAATTAGCATAAAACCAACTTTAAACTTTACACAATCTTTTAAGGGCTTGTGTATATTTTCTAAAATTACAAGCGTATTTTCGTAAAATAGTAATACGTCAATGTGGACGTATTCTTCTCAACAGGTACTTCTTTATGCAGTTAGCAAACAACTTATATACAGGACATGGTGAAATTATGCAACAATGAATATTGATAATACAGAAAAAGGCTGCTGGATTTAACTAAGTGCATCGTGAAAAAGCACCAACGCTGGAGTATAATTGAATTTATGTTATTTGTATTTCACATGTTAATGGTACATTGCCGCGTTTTCATAATTCAGAGGTGTTCGCGACCCATTTCCGCAACAATGCGCTCCGTACTTTGGAACGTTGCTACGCTATAAGAGTGATAATGAAAGCCCACTTTTCGGTCATACAAGAGTTGGCTATGTGTGCTGTTCACTGGTTGCCTACGATCTAGTCTATAAATGCAAAATTAGAGACAGCTATGCGTATATAACCGTTTGTGTAGTTTTGTGCAAAAAGTCTGAAACAAACAAACAAACTTAACGTGGTAACACATATGGTGCAGGAAGAACAATTATACACTAACAGCGCTACCTATTTACAACCATTTGCTAAAATAGACAAGAGAAATAAATATAGGAACATTATTTTGTAACATAAGACAATCACGAAATGTTCTAAATTAACACAAAAACTTTATGTGGTAACGTTTTAATAAATTAAATAATTAAATTAAATTAGTGTAACTTAGCTTTTACATTGCATTTTGGAAACTAAACATTAAAGCTGAGGTCAGCTTGAGATAAACAACGATCATAATATTAGTATTCTTAGGTACACTGATTTTCCTGAATTATTATTGGGTAGGATCCACAGAATAACAGAAGGTTCGATCAGGAAATATATTACGGGGTAAATCTAAATCTTTTAACTGAGTTTAGCAAAGAAAATCTAGATACAGTGTGAAACAATCTGTATCAAACATAATAAAAAAATGAGTGTATTTATGATGCTTTTACTGGAGGTTTGAGGATTCTCAATAAAAAAGTAAATCTCTACGAAGAATTGTCCCAGACTGAGAACACACAGTATTTATATACACGAATCATTAACGTCATTCCTTCCCAGGACACGTGCAGCACCCAAATAATTGTTTTCCATTACTTCAAACAATAAGGGTTTGGTTTACTTTGAATTCCATGCAAGCTACTCGAGAGCTGTCTACACTAGCCATCCCTAATTTAACAGTGATAGAATAGAGGGAAGACAGCTAGTTAACATCATCCATGCCAACTCTTGGACTACTCTTTTACCAGCGAATAAAGGGGTTGACCGCTACGTTATAACACCTCCAATCTGAAAGGATGAACTTGAACGTGTTCGGTGATGGGGAAAAAATATGGGGAAAATATGGCTTTAATTAATGGTGAAGTTATCATGCTGATATTGGTTTAATGGTGAAGTCACGTGCATTAAAACGGAGACAAATTTCTGTTAAATAAGGGAATAGAAAACACGTAGTGTGCCTGCACCCTACAGTATTACAGGTAAACCAAGTTGAAGTCTCAAACCCAAAACCATTAGATTGCACTGAACCGTCAGATGAGTACCCAAGCTAATACAAATATTTTTAGTTATAATCTCATTAATATCTCGAGAGGTTTGGTCAATCTATGAAACTGTTGTTTAGCCTAAATTAATGCATATAGCTGACAATATGAATTAATATTTATAAAAAGAATTTGTAGTGTATTTGTATTTTGCATTTATGGCAAAGCCACTAAGGCTATTGCCCCCAAGTAGCAAAGCAGTAAGTCTGTGCTAGAAACCGGGTTTCGATACCCATGGTGGGCACAACACAGATAGTTCATTGTGTAGCTTGCGCTTGACTACAAACCAACAAACAAAACTAAGTATATTTATCTCGTCTCTAGTTTTGAACTACTGACTAGAGGAAGGTAACCAGTCAGCAGCACCCTATCACCCACCACGCTAAGATATTGACTGCCACTTTTAACGAACAACTTAAAGCGGGGTTGAGGATAGTTTGTAGTATCGCAGGGATTTGAAGCCGGCTCTCCAGCTCCGAAAAAAGTTCTATAGACATATAACTTTTTTCTAGCTTTTAAAAAACTTGAGCGTAATAAGGAAAATAAATTGGTGATACCTAAACAGTCTAGTTTTCATTGTATTAAATAAGGTTGTTACTTACAAAGTGCTTAAACGTTCTTGTATTATTTCATGTTAACTACAGTTGTTACTTACAAAGTGCTTAAAGACACTAGTTATCTATCATGTTACGTAGGGCTTTTACTTACAAAGTGTTTAAATATGACTGTTATATATAAAGCACTTGTTGCCCATCATGTTAAATATGGGCGTTACTTACAAAATGCTTAAACACTAGTTGTCTGTTATGTTAAACGCATATAAATCACTAATACACAAAAAATAAGTATTTTGATATTTATATATTCGTAATAATGTGGAGCAAATAACTCAAACTAGTGGTTTTTACAGAAATTCAATAAATACTAACAGTAAAAGGATTTATCCTATAAAATATACAATGGATGTACATTTTAACAAGTGGGAAAAATATTCCAAGAAATTCAAAGTGTAGTAATGGGCGTACCAAAAAGTGACGAAACAAGGTAAGAATGAGCATGGTGTAATAAAACTTCCGCTGTATAACTTTACAAGGGGTCGTATCCAACATTCGGTCCATGCCTACTTCGTTTATTTTTTAATATCTTCTATACAATAAACCCGATGAACTAAACTTATTAAACTCAGTGATGCTTATCATATGGTGATCAGAGATTTCTGTGAATCGAATTATTGGAGGCAATACAAGAGCTGTAAAGTATGGTTTATACGACACCAGAAGAATCAGATATTCGTGAGGACCCATAACTCGTGTGTCTCGTATGAGGTTTTTGTGTATCTACGTCATGAATTAGTTACGGTCTATACAAAAGTAGATAAATCATAGACACACTTTTGTATGTACTTATAAGTTGTATATTATCATGAACACAGACAAAACGAAGTGAGCATGGACGGATTTTGGACACGCCCCCTTGTGATGTTGAACAGAGGAAGTTTTATTACCTCACGCTTATTCCTACCTTGTTTCTTCACTTTTTGGTGCATCCTTTTCTGCACTTTCAGTTTTTTAAATATTTTTTCCATTTGTTCATGCACTTTTTTTCATACAAGGTGGTGTGTGTACACATTGTGTGTGTGCCTGTGTGTTCTACATGTGATGGCACAGACTATAGGTGCAATCTCATTTAGGTAATGTTGTGTGCATAAACTAAGGCTTGATAAGTTAGTTAGTTAATTTAATTAACTACTTCACGCTAGCACTATCACGTGGTCCCTGAGCTATTGTTCTATTTGGTGCACTTTTAACTATGATAATTCTGTTTGTTACGCAGCTAGAAGCGTTCAACGATATCAGTTCGTCAATGAGATTGAGAAATTTGTGTATCCGCCCCATTCCTACTTTAAGCACTAACTCACTTAAGATAGTTAAACAAGACATCAATTTATTAAGTACGTCTTCAACTGTCAGGGTACTTCATCACTTATCGTTATTCATACTTTCATAAAACTGGAAAAGAAAAGAAAGTGTATGAAAACTTGATTTTTTTTCGAACACAGAATAGCAAAGTACTTAATGTTACTCGTAGTTAGTTCGATTAATCTCAGCGTAATTATTCATGAAAGTCTTAGCTTATCCACAAATGTTATTATTAAACCCTTAAAACAACAATCTGTAGCAGGTTCAGGAAGAATGTTTGCCTAATTAGAGATATTTTCCTCGATCAGTTGCCGGCAATAATGAGTGTAAAGCAATTATTAGTTGGCGTGAGAAATAAAATGTTTTTTGAAATAGAGATTTCTTTTAGTGGGCACAGAGTTTTGAAAATAACTCATAAAGTACTGATGCGAATAAAAAAAAACAAATCGAAGAAATTATAACAAAAATGCTTAAATATTTCTATGTTTAATCAGTACAAAACTTCACATGCAAATGTGCATGATTTTAGACTAAAAATTGTCTGAGATTTACAAACACCTTGCTTTGTGCGTTGTTCGAATCCTGTCACCGAACATCCTCGCCCTTTCTTTTAGCTGTGGGGGCGTCATTATGTGGCGGTTAATCCCACTGGTCGTTGGTAAAGAGTAGTTCAAGAGATGTGGGAGGGTGATCAATCTAGTCAATCACTTCAAAATTAGAGACGGGTAGCGCAGGTAGCCTTCGAGTGGCTTTGCGCGAAAATTCAAAACAGACGTGCAAATCGTCCGTTGTTTTTCTTGTAACTAATTTCAATTCTTATTTTTAAATACCAATGAAACAATTTGATTGGCTTTGTTATTTATTTTATTATTGTTTTATGGTAGTTTATTTATTTATTCCAGTTGTGACAACAGAATAAGATGTGGAATTCAAAACGTTTGGTATTCTTGAGTGTTGTCGTCAGCGTAACGGTTATACGTTTTTACAACGCAGAAACATTGCAATGTGACAATTCAATACATAACTGCAAAATTGTTTGCTTGAGCGATAATATTGAAAATGACATCAAGCTTGAATGTTCTCTCTTGCCAAGGTTTAATAATTCTTTACTTGAAATCTTCAACTACAATTTAAAATTGGTTGAGTTGCAAATCCGAAATTCCGACTTAAGAGAGATAAAACATTTTGCAAATGTACAACTTGAAGACCTCAGGTCGATGAGTTTCTTCGCTTCAAATATTGACCAAGAAGCTTTAAGTGCAATTCTCATGTCAACTCCTAATCTGAAACATCTTATTTTGGAAGAAGAAAACCTTCAGCAAGTGAAAAGTGCAAACTTTCCAGAAGCATTTGGAGAAACGTTAGAAACCTTGGTGTTGAACAATGATAATATAAATGAAATTGAGATATCTGCATTCGAAGCTTTCAAAGGAAGCTTAAAAACATTAGAGCTTCGTGGAAACAAACTTGTCAACATCCCAGAAGCCATATATGGATCGAAGGTTCTGGAATTGCTTGACCTTAACAACAACAACAAAATTAAGTCAGTCTCGAACAAGGACGTTAATACACTGAAAACCTTGGATAATTTGAAAACTTTAAGAATGAATGGTGAGTTAATATCGAAATCTAGAACATTTATAAGCTACTTTTATAATTTTTAAACAACATGAAATCTATTGTTGTCGATCTAATGCGTCTATGTTTAAAAGTAAATGCTGGTAACTTAAACAACTATGTAATTTGATTACGCCAAGAAAACAGAGAGAGAAACTCAAACGATTTTAACATCAAAGACACATTTAACAAATTATTTTTTAACTATTCAGAATTTCAAAGTGCAAAGGTCATTCATTGTTATTATGTAATGCCATAGTTATTGTTGTTAAGTGAAACAATAATTTAAAGTGCAATTTTAAGCTGTATGTATACATTTTCATGTGTATATGATTCGATTAACGAATATTAATTCCTTGTACCGATTTCAATCTAGATAAAATAATATTTCAGTTGAATAATTTCATTATTCAACGTAATTTAGCATCCACTAAAATATGATACAGTTATCCGTTCACAGAAAAAAAAATCTCATTTTTTTAGCGGAATTATAGTAATTATATCAAAGCTTAACAACGAGTTCTAGTGCTTTTCATAAACAACATTTAATTTATTCTGAGATAAACTGTTGTTTGGTACATAGACTGCGCAGAGTAAACAACTAGCATTATATATATAATTATATATACACTTAGGTGTAGATTTTTGTCTTTCTATACATTACATTAAGTATGGTAACTAAGCATTCTCACTTTTTTTTTATTCCTGTAAACTCCCAGTGGAGCATAGGGCCGCAACAACACCTCGCCAACGGAAGGTGTTGTTGCAATTACTTGTAGCAGGTTGGTTTTTACGGGGTGGAGTTGCTAGCCCCG